CCCTCCCACATGACCAAAAGAGCTGCATCATTATAGGGATGGCCCTGATCCCCACCCCAATTACTTGATCCAAACTTCTGCAGACTTTCCTCAGGCTGTAAGACCAGCACCCGCAGCCACTTTCCCCCTGTACTCCAGCAGTTGGAGGCATGTTGACATCATAATGTACAATGAAGAGCCCATAAACCTGCACTACACATGAGGACACCAAGGGACAGTCCACAAGCCGCAGCATAGGGAAGATGAGGATAGTGCCAACTGCCAGGGGAATGGGGATTAGCCCAGTAAAACTGCTTTACCCTAGACCTAAATGACAGTTAACCCTTGCACTGCAAGAGGAGTCTTTTTCCCCAGAGAAAGACTTTAAAGCCCCTTTACACCTTGGGATATCGGGAATTGTGTCGCGTTCACTGGTATTTTTTTCCTGTGTTTGCCGTGTGTCGCTTGTGTGATTTCAATGGGTGCCACACAAGCAGCAAACACAGGAAAGTAGCTCATGTAGCAGATTATGCTGCAGGCGTACTGCATTTTTCCCATGCATTTGTGCGCATTTTAACTCATGTTGACCTGGCAACGTTTGGGGAGCCATTAACAAGTAACGCATTCTGTGAAAGTGCATTAAAGCGTGCACATGCCACAAGTTGGGCATGCATTTACAGAGCACGGAGATGTTAATAGGGACTAAGTGTAAATTAATGCAGTCACCCCAGTTTACAGATTATATCTGATTGGCTGTAAGAGGTTACTGTATATATTACTGGACATATGGAAATGTTAAATTGAAAATGAATGTGTAAATGAAATAAATATATTATGACGTTACTGTTCAGCCCCATGAACAAATTATTTTTGTTCAGAAACTGTGACAGAAACGGCCTGCGTCTTATGTACCAGTGCGCCTTATGGAGCGCAAAATACGGTATTTATATGTTTCGTGCTATTGATAAAAAAAATCTCTATTTTACATATATACATTTATTACAGAGTACTCCAAAACACTGGTGTCCCCAGAATAGGTTATATAGACAGAACACAGAAGCAACTGTTTCCTTTGAGACTGTTTCTCTTTAACTGCAATTTTGTAGGGTGCCACACAAAGCAGGGACAAATAGGGGAGATGGGAGAATAAGTCACTCCTTTGACCGATACAGCTCTGTGTATAAATTGAGGTTTAGCTATTGAGCTCTGTATATAGTATTATTTTTTCAGCAGAGCAGTTAAGATTAAAATGGAAAACATGAATAGGAACCCAGAGATGCATCTGCTGGTTGGAATGATAAATATTCAGCTTATAATACTATACTATACTATACTATATAATACTATAATACTATAATACTATTTATCTACCTAAAGGGAAATAATATTTTTAACAGAATTCTTTGCTATGCTATTGTGTACCGTATTTTAACTTTATGATAAGTCATAACTTGGAACTAAGAAAGTTTGTGTAACCACCAAGAAGGGCAGCTTCTTATTCTTATTACTTTGAGTCTCTTGGTTTTTTGTTACACAGGATAGTATTAAAAGATAAACTTGCTTTCAAACTGAAATCCACAGCTGCAATCACTAAATCCAACCCCTTACCAGTGCAGTGACTTGACTATACACAGGCTCTGCCGCTCAGCCTCCAGCTGTGAGAGCTCCACAGCTGCCCCTGAGGAAAAAAAACCCTTCCCGCAACAGATATAAGATATAATGGTGTTTTCAAGTGCATTTCCACTTTTGCAACCAAATCGGGATAACACTTACTTTACATTTGTTACATGATCCCAATCACATAACATAACTTAAAAAAAATCAAAGTTGCAGCTTACCATTTTTAACATGTTCTTTCTAACAAAAAATCCTCTCACTGTCTAGGGGGATTGGGAGAGTTTTGTTTTATAATAATTCACTGTCTGAACTGTGCTGGCAGATTTCATTATCACTTTTAAACTAGATCAGCACGACCGTCTGTCCTGTCAAAGGGTTAAAGCCCTAAAGACATTGGGGGGAATTCATCAAAACTGGGGCAGAAGAATCTGGAGCAGTGGGAAACATGGGAAACTGCTCCAGATTTAATAAAATCCCCTTATTGCATGTTCATGAGGAGACACTCAGTCTGTCCTACGGATTTCTATTAGGAGATGCAGTTTGCTGTGACTGAAATTGAGAGGAGCATGCCAAGGCCAGCAAAACAGAGATATCTATATGGTAAGAAATATGTTTCTTTTAAATATTGCTAGATATTGTGTGTGACTAGAAACATAAAACAAACATATAGTGGGGTGCTTTCTCAGTTTTGACTGCAACACTTTAACCACTTCAGGTGGGCGGCAGCCGTGTTTTTGGTACCATTGTAAACAGCCGGCGATAGCTGTTCTGATACAAGTGATCCAGCAGCTATACAGCTGCCCGATCGCTTGTAACACGCGGCGGAGTGTTCCCCCAGCTGCTGATCTCTCATCCGATCACTGGATCCGGAAGTGATGTGTATTACATCACTTCTGGTGTCACTGTGCACATTCTCAGGCTCCTATATCCAGGAGAAGAAGCTGGAGAAGCAGATTTTTTTCTTTTTTTTTATAGGAGTCCCTCCTAACATTCCTACCAGACCTTAAGGGTCTGGTATTGTTTGGGAGTGTGCCTGTCTCGTTGCTTAAGGTGAGGGAGTACATCCCATTGAAAGAAGCTTAGATAAAAGGTGCATCAGTTTCCAAGCATCGAAAGGCGGGTCTATCATTGTCTTGAGCCCTTTAATTATTACATCTATTACACATACTGACAGATTTATAGGTCATGGTAACCAATATTACCAAATACTGTACTTCACACACTATTCCCTGAGTCACCTGACCTATGTTGGCGCTGCCAATAATCCGGGGCAGGAATGTTACACATCTTCTGGTCCTGCCCGGCCCTCCAAAGTTTTGGGAACAAGTGCGCGCTCTCGTTCAGAAATTTACGGACGTCCAGGTGCCTGAAGACCCGACCTTCTTTCTCCTCCACCATAACACCATCCCGCTGCGCTCCTATACCCACTCCTTGATCAGAGACGTGGTAAATGCCGCCCGGGCATGCATTCCAGCACTCTGGAAGAAACCCGAAGCCCCCCTCATAAGCCAAGTCCTACACCGTACCCATGATATATACATCATGGAAGATCTCACAAGCTCCATTAAACATACCTCTGCCTCAGTCGCTCGAACCTGGTTCCCCTGGTTGGGATACACTCGGTCCCCTGACTGCCTTACCCTCAGATGGGAGAATTCTGACCTGCTCCTGATGGGGAAACCTTATCCCATCTCCTCCCTGCCTCTCCTGTTTCCCCACCCTTTTTAGGTATATGCCCTACTACCATCTCTCTCTCTTTAGTGACCTAGTAACTACTGGCCCATTTATGCCGTATCCTTTTTTTTCTTTCTTTCTTTCTTTCTTTTTTTTTCTTTCCTTTTCCGTCACTTAACCCCTTACCTACACAACCTACTCACATTCACTTGCCTAACACTGTTTTTTTTTTCTTCTCTTGTTCGGGTTTGTTTTGTTGTGCACACTAAAGTTTTAAAAACGACATCTCTTATGCATGCTATTGACAGGGATAGAAGTCCCCCCCCTCCCCCACACACCTCCCTCGGATCCACAGATGCGCTCATAAGCACTTGGACACTTATATGTCCCCCTCTTGAGATACTTACGGGTCACTGACTAGCTGAGCAGGGGGAACACCCTCCCCTTATTTTTTTCAACGCTTTAAATATCTTATTTTGTTTACTTTGTCATATACATCGCAATGCATTTGGTGTATTTTCTCTATGACCGCCCGAGAGAGCAACTATTTGCTACTTATGCACTTGTTTTTCTCTTCTTGTGATCACCGTCAAAGCTTTTAAAATATAAAATAAAGAATTTATTTTAAAAAAATACTGTACTGAAGCACAAATAGCCTCACTAACATTACTGCAATGCAAAAGAAGAAGCAGACGTTTGGCCCTTTTCAGAATTCACAAGTCATCTTCTCTGCGTATTCTGCTTATTGAGACCAAAGACCCAAATGTGACAGTTTAAAAATGTAGGTCTTCTTCTATCACTCTAGTGGCTTCTATTGTTAATTGTAGGCTGTCCTTTGTCTTCCCTGTCAATGAAATCCCCCAAAATGGTGGGTTTTGATAATGTTGACCTTCTTTACAAACCTAGAACCTTTTTTGACTTTTCTATGTGTTTTCTTAATTCCCCATTTTTATACTTTTCCCTTCCTTACACTTTTTAACATACCTGAGAACAGACAATATTGGGCTTACCCTTATCTATATTCTATCTTTAAATTCAACTCCACATACTCATCTCTAACAACTAGGTGTTATACTCCTGGATTGTTATTATTTTAACTGTTCTAGTAAGGCACCAGTGGATTGATTGACTAGGTTATTCATATCTCCAAGGTTCATTTTACTTTTTAAACAGAACAGAGGACTTGTGGACTGGATAAGTCATAAAATTAATGTATGCTTGCTTAAAGTTCAACTTCAAACAAAAACAAATTGAGGGGGGTTTGATTAGAGTCAGGAAAGATTATAACCTTGTGTTTTTTCTTTGCTGCCTTTGTCCAATTTGAAGAGATTTTTTTAGCACTTCATGTCAAGGTGACTAAACAGAAAGTAAAGAGATCTTATCAGTGGGGACAAAAACAGCAATAAAATGTGGCTGAAGTTCTAACCCTTCCCTTCTATGATTGGTAAATGTTTTGTTTTTTTAATTCATAATCTGCTTCACTGAGGAGATTTAAGTCACTTTCTGTCTTAGTAACACAAGAAATGGGGAAATCTCCCTAATAATTACAGAAGCAACAATTAAAATCCTAACCCTTCCCTACTCTGTCCAAAAGTAAAATAAAGGTTGTTGTTGAAGGTAGGCTTTGAGTTCCTACCTGCAATTTCTAGATGTATGTTGGCTACTATATGCGTATGGTTGTACTTAAATGTTCATTCAGCATAGTTCTGGAGCTGCACACAACTTTCAAAGAGTAAAATCAACTTTATTGTTTGATGATTAAGCCTCAGTAGGGGGCAAAGCATGTCAGAGGGAAAATCCTGGGTGGAGTGACTGTGTTTGTGCTAAAAAATAAAGATGATCTGACCCTTTAGAAGTGGTGTGCAGCTCCAGAACTTTGCTGAATGATGTGTGTGAGCAAAGTGTGAGCACCTGCGAGCTGGAGCTGAGGATTGCAGGAGTCTTAGGAGCGGCTTCACCATTTCTTAGTTACTGTCCACATTCAGTTTATTTATTAATATGTACTTTTATGCCTGGAATTTTGGACTGCAGTTGAATCCTTCTGAACAGTATCTTCTTTAAAGTTACTTTAACTTCATTGTTTCTAATACTGTAAATTATGGGATTAACCATAGGTGTCACCACCGTGTAGAGAATAGACACTATTCGGTCTCGTTTCACAGAATAACTGCCTCGAGGCCTTAAATACATAAAGACAATGGTACCATAGTATAGTGAGACAACACAGAGATGGGAGGTACATGTAGAAAAGGCCTTCTTCCGCCCTTTGGTGGAGTGCATCTTTGAGATGGTAGAAATAATTTGCACATAGGACAGTAGAGTCAACATAAATGCACAAAAGCCTACAACCGCCCCTGAGATGTACACAGCTATTTCATTCCACAAAGTGTCTTTACAAGAAAGTCGTAAAAGTGGTGGCATCTCACAGAAGTAATGATTAACATGGTTGGACCTACAGTAAGGAAGTTGAAAGGTGATGAATGCATAGAAGATAGAGTTTAGGAAGTTAAAAATCCATGTTATGGCTGACAATATTACACAGAGCCTCATATTCATGATGGTGTAGTACAATAAAGGTTTGCAGATGGCTATGTACCGATCATAGGCCATGATTGCCAATATTATGCATTCTGTTCCACCTAATGCCAAATGGAAATACATCTGGGCTGCACATCCCAAGAAAGAAATACTCTTGTCTTTAGACAAAGTGTTTATTAGTAGCTTTGGCACAATGGTAGTGGAGAAGCACAGATCAATTAATGAGAGGTTACTGAGAAAGAAGTACATAGGAGTCTGTAGCTGGGTGACAAGCCTTACAATTATAATGATCAGACTATTCCCCAGAACCGTCACTATGTACATCAATAATAAGATGATAAACAATAGTGGCTGAATGTATGGATTGGTAGATAACCCAATGAGAATAAATTGATGTGCAAATGTTTTGTTCTCCATAAGGTCTTTTTTTTATAATGGGCCTAAAATACCTAGTATGACAAAATCAGAACAAAATTTCAGTGGACAAATTGTGACTGCATATGCAGCAAGAAAAATAAGTTTAATCATATATTGCATTTAAAGCATGAATCAAACATATATATTTTTTTATTTTGTTATTTCATTTTCAACTATACATTAAGTACTCAAATGTCCAAGTGCTATACATTCATTTCCTAGGTAGCCTGTCATTAGTTGCATAACTGCTGGTTCAGGTAAGGCTATGGCTTAGACTTGAGACTCCGGTTTGGGTGCAGGGGTCAAGATCTTCAAAACACACAATACACTACCTTTTACACACAAAGCTGATATACTTATACAGTATATCAAAAGCCACAAAAACTGCCACAGCTTCAGGAAGGTTGCAGGATAGAAATGGTAACTGTGAGATGTCACCAGACATAATGATGTTTAGACATGTGCACCGGCAAAAAAGTTGTTTAGTTTCGTTTTCATTTTAATTCGGATTTTCTGTTATTTTGTTTTTCGGGATTCGTGTCCGAAAGTCAATTTGTTTTGGGATTCGGATTTGAAAGAAATTAGTTAGCGGTAGTCTGTAAGAATATTAAAGGAGAACTATGGGGTCAGTGTTTTTCCACATAGTTCTCCTTAGGGTAACGGGAGGACACAAACCAGCGTCCTCCCGTTACCCTAAGCTCAGTCTACTGCGAGCAACAGCTTGCGGTATACTGAGACGCCGCAGCCGGAGCGGATCCCGACCTCGACGTCGAGATCCTCCCAGATGCGTGAGTGACAGCTGGCTCTGCCTCTAGAGGCAGAGCCAGCCGTACCCGCCCCATCCCCCGTCCGTTCCACCAGTCAGCGCTGGCAGATCGTAGCAGGGAGAGGGGAATCCAGCCCCTCCCCCTGTCACGGCAGAAAGCCGACCTGTGACAGTCTCATTGTCACAGGTCGGCTAGAACGATGAGGTGAGTGGAAATCACCCATCTCATAGTTCTCCTTTAATTTCTGGACGCATATTTGTTGCAGAAAAGTGACATTAGACAAAAGAAGAAAAAAGTGTGAGGTTCCCCCCAAATTTATACCAGACCCTTTAGGTCTGGTAGGAATGTTAGGAGGGACCCCCACAAGTTTTTTTTTTTTAAAGTGTGTGGGGTTCCCCCCAAGAGCCATACCAGGCCATTTACATTACATTACATTAGGGGAATATGATAAATAGGGGATTGGGAAATTACATGGCAGATGAGGTTTAATATGGAAAAATATAAAGTTGTGCATTTTGATGTTAAAATATGCATACATACTACTCATTAATGGGAGCTCCCCTGGGGGAATCACAGGTGGAAAAAGATTTGGGGGTTCTAGTTGACAGCAGACTTAGTAACAGCACGCAATGCCAGGTTGCAGCAAATAAGGCAAGCAGGGTATTATCATGCATAAATAAAGAGTATGTAGTCTGTCCCTTTAAAAGGCATCGTTATCTTGAGTATGTGGTTCAATTTTGGTTACTGATCCACAAAGGATGGAAGAGAGAGTCCACAGAAGGGCAACAAAACTAATGAAGGGGTTGAAGGACCAAATCTATGAGGAAAGATTGCAAACATTAAACAAATTCCCGGCGGCAAAAGCCTTTAAACTTGTAAAGCCGACAGTCGGCTTTACAGTAGAAGCGATTCTGGTGACTAAGCTGTCGCCAGATCGCTTCTATGGCCCGGTGAAGGGTCCCCCCCTCCCCAACATCCCTGCCATGCTTCCCGGGCTCCGTTGCCCCTCCTACGGGCCCGGGAGCGGCTTTTCTGGTGTCGGTGGGGAGCTGGGGAGGAGTTGGACGAACGGAGGTCCCTGTTATATGGGACCGGGAGTGATGCAGATTGCATCACTTCCGGTCCCATAGCTGTCAGTATTGGGCTACTGAAGCCCAGCTATAAGCTATGTGCGATCTGCACACTTCAATAGCTTATTTGGAGTGTAAAGGTGACACTGTGGGTCTTTTGGACCCCCAGCATCACCTTAAAGAGTACCTGTCACCACCATCTGCTATCACATGGGGGCTTGTAAGCCCTCCTATGTGATAGCAATTAAAGTCAAGTAAAAAAATAAAAAAAACAGTTTCTAAAATGAACATTACATAAAATAAATCTAAAAATAATTTTAAAAAAATATTTACAGTCCCCCGCGAGCACGCGTGCTGCCACGTAAACACATGTCAGGTGCGCCTACATATGAAAACGACGAACACGCTACACATGTTGGGTATCGCTGCACATGCCCGAGTGAGAGCAATAATTCTAGTGCCAGTATTTTGGGGTACCTCTAAAATGATGACCTGTGAGGGCTTTTAAAGCGTCGTCTATGGACTTTTTGGGGTACGGAACTTTGTCGCCGTTTCACGGACGCACATAATTTTTAACCTGGACATGTTGAGTATCTATTTACTCATTGTAAACTCATCTTTTATATTTTATTTTAAAAATGGGTATTTTGTTTTGGGGCATTTAAGTACATTTTTCACACAATTTTGGGGTTTGATAAGGAGTATCGGCTGATATTGTGCAACATAAAAATTTGCAACTACCACCATTTTATTCTATAGGGTCTTAGGTTTCAGAAAATATATAATGTTTGGGGGTTTTAAGTAATTTTCAGGCCTAAAATGTGGAATATGACATGGGTGCAAAAATATGGGGAAAAAAGGCCTCAGTCATGAAGGGGTTAAACAATCTAATTAAGACAATGAGAAAATAATCATGGAATGCTCCCTTTATGAAATAAAAAACAAAAGGTATTAGCGGGTAAAAAAAGGATTGTTTAAAAAATTACTAATTAGTTTCCACAATATATTTTAATAATTAAAAACTGTACTACATTAATCTATGGGTTAATAGATGCTGTTTCTTAATACATTGGCTCTAGATTGAAATACAGTTTGTCAATAAAGCTAAGAAACAGCTCATATTATGAAGGGGTTTTTTTTTGTTCTTCCTATGATTGTAAATGTTTCTTCTTGCTAAAGTGTCCTCTGCAAGGGATCAGACAGAGAAAACTGTCAACTGTCATGTTCGTCCTATTGTATGTAGTTTGGGACTTGTAGGGGTCCATGTATAACATGAAAATCATAAGTCTCCTTAGGAGCAGGTATGGATTATTTAGTGAGGTATTACAATTAATATACTAAAAGTGTATAACGCAGAGAAACCAAAATGGCCATCTAAGCATCAGAAATCATCTTTTACAGATTAATCTACAGTACATTAGCCTGTGTTTGAGTGATATGTGTTTCATTACATTATCACTGCTTTCACCACTTTACTAATAGGGCTGTAAAAGGTAAAGAAGAACAAACAATGCATGAATAAAAATTAATCTTGAAGAAGAGTTTAAACCTTCATACAAAAACCACTAGAAATCATAAACCCCTCCTCATAACGCCTAACATGCCTGAAATCCCCTTCTCTCAACATCCCCTGCACTTACATACCCCCTTTTTTTTTTTACCACCCACTGCACCTGCAGCATCCATTCTCCCACCACCCACTACACTTGTAGCACCCTGCCTTCTCAGCACCTCACCTACAGCTGCATTTCTTTCACCATTGGCAACCTCTCTTATCTCAGTACTTACTGTGCCTGCAACCCCTCTTCTTTTACTATCCATTCTGCCAACAGTCTCCCTTCTCTTACCTATCACTGCACTTAAACCTGCTTCTCTCAGCATCCACCACACCTGCAGCCTCCTGTCTTTCAGCACCCAATATTCCTTCACCCCCTTCTCTCAGAGTCCTTTACACTTGCAGTTGCCCTCCTCTCAGTGTGCACTGTGCATCCTACCTTCACTCACCATCCACCATGTCTGCATTTCCTATTCAACCATCTCACTGGTACCCCACCTCTCACCAGTGCATGCTTCCTTCAACTCTTATCAATGCTCCTGCATCCCACTCCTCTGTCATCACTGTGCTGAAAAGCAAACACGTGGCAAGGTACTGCCATTGTGCTTCACATAAGAACTCTACTCTACCCTATGCAATTTTCATTTAGTTCAAACTCTCATAGCCAACTTCTCAGTGCTTAATTTCTGCAGGAAGAATAGATCTACGCAGTACAAGTCATAAAGAGGTTTCATAGTCTGTTGGTCACTCTCCAGGTCGTGGCATTTTTGATCTGCCCCATTGGGAGTTACCACATGACTGCTCTGAGAATGACTGACAGCCTGATCCTGTCTTCTAAAAGCTGCACTGTAGGCAGGAGGGTGGTGTTGGACGCATGACCCTGCGCACTTTTTGAAGCTGTTGAATGCGTGAAGGAGATAGGCATGAGATACAGTACATATATACAGTCAATATGAGGTTTACATTTCATTAGAAACATTTCGTTGGTACTGCACTCCGTCCCACATCCATAATATATTTCCCTCACACTCTCCGCATTGCTTTCGAGGCTGTGGACAGTTGGGTACTATGAAACGTATATGGTGGGATTGTACCAAATCTAAACGTCTATGGACCCGAATTTATGCTTTAATCAACACTGTGGGAAGCGCTTTTACACAAACCTATAATGGGCATAAATAAACATAAACAGTGCTTAATATCCCAAATATTCATGGCTACAAAAAAAACCATTGCTAATTCTTGGAAATCCCCTGTGCTTAAATATGCGGAAGTTAAAAATTGTATAACCGGTACAATGATTAATGAACAGCTCACAGCAATCCTATCAGATTCATATGTGAAATTCGAAAAAATTTGGGGAGCTTGGATTGCCTACGATAGTTCGTTGACCTTTGACCCAACTCAATTGCAATTTTGGTCGACCCACATGGTGCCCCGTGACCTAATTCTACTTTATATTTCCCCCCCCCCCCTTTTTC